CAAACCTTGAATTAACTTTAGATCAATGTCTGCTGCTAAGAAGATCCAGTCAGGTCTGGTAAACCAGTCTTGTCAAAGTATTCAAGATATAAAATTATTAACAAGTATGAACAATGTAAAGTAACATATGAACAATAAGAATGTAAGAGAGAGTGATTTGACTGAATGGTTCTTGTTATTGACATGATAGAGAATGTTGCACTCATTCGTGTGTAAACAATCAAACATAGATCTCCTTAAATAGGCAAGGAGTGATTTAAAAGACAAATCCCACAAAGTGCATGGACTAGAAGACAACTGAAGATCAACAGACTGTCAAAGCCGCATTTGTTTATCTTGTCCCATGTACTGTACAATAAAACAAATACTAAAAGACAAACTAGTAATAGGAACAATTAATGCACTATATAGACTCATAAAACAAATAAGAAAAGGATGTTTCTCGGATAGATCTTTACTTCGGAATCAGCATCATCTCAGAATACTTCTACCTCAGAATTGGCATCACTTCGGATTGCTAAGGAGTCACTTTTCATGTATCAACAACTTGGAGGATTTGGGTTGCTGATTGAGGATTTATCTATCTTAGTGTTAGTCGGTTAGAGGGATTGAGCAGTGCAAGGAGTGAGAATATTGTTGTGATTCTCCGGTTCTATAGTTTAGGTAAGTTTCTCACTATGCCACGTATCTTATTGTATATCCTTTGCATGCTAGGATAGGGGTACTGATATAGTACAAGTATGCTAGTGGCCGAGGTGGAGTTCTTGTTATGCCTTGCAGTTAGAGCATTTGGTGCTTTAGTATGCTATACTGGTAAGGTTTTAATTGTTGATCGTATGATTCTAATTAGAGGTATGTTTGGTAGGGTAACTAGGGAAGTCTAGTGCTAAGGGAATGTACTATGTTAGTTATGCATGTGTTTATCCTATATGGTTATATGGTAGTGATAGAATGAGTTCTATGTAGTCTAAGTTGGATAGCTTGAGAACTCTTGGCCTAGTGCATGATTGTGATGTTCTTGTATGATTGTTTGCTCTCCGGTGGATCATCTTTTCAACTGCCTATCTGATCCCTGACTATATACGAATTTATGTCTTGAATGGAAGACTAGGAGGTGCCTCTTAGCAGTGGGCGTTGGGCTGGGTCCGTTTACTCCTAGGGTGGGGGCTGATATGTATAGTTGGACAGGGTCCGTTATGTTAGGTGGGGCTCGTTACGTATAGTTGGGTGGGGCCCGTTATATATGGTTGGGCGGTGCCCGTTATATGAGTTGGGCTAGGCTCATGAACTCTTGGGTTAGGCCCATTGGATGTGATGCATGTATGTGGTTAGGAGATTTGGTTGCTCGGCGCTAGGGTGAGATCTTTTGTGGATGCATTGTATGTATGATGGAATTTTTGGTATATTGGGGAGCTCACTAAGCTTTATGCTTACGATTGTGGATTAAACATTTTACAGGTCGTTCGTGAGAAGAGCTCGGTGGGACTGTACACATGCTTCGAAGATGTTCGTTACATTATTTTGTAATTCAACTATGTTAACTATTGGTTTTCAACAAATGAATATTGTTTAATGATATTGAAGTATAAAGTTTTAATTAGTTACCTTATTTTAAATTGAAAAATCTCTTTGTAACTTTTTGGACGTTACAACGCTTAATTTCATATTTTTCAAACACTTTAGTGAGCGAGGATGATTGGAAATGGGAGAATTTATTTATATTTAAATATGGTTCAATTGGGCTTGGTGATTACTGGAGAATGAGGAATTTTTGGACTTCATGAAGAGTGGTTGATTGAAGATTTAGGGTAGTGGGTTAAAAAATATGAGTTAGGCTAGCAGTTGGGTTTATTTGTATGTTCTACAAATAGTATCTCGGGCTCACAAATTTACAAGAGTAAAGAAACAAGGAAACATTGGATGAAAGGGACATGATGCGAAAGTCAATATTAGATCTGACCAAGTCATGCGATCCGCATGAGTGCTTTAGGGGAAATTTTGTTATTTTGTATTTGGAAGTTATTTATGGATGGTTAGTGGGTATCTTTCTCACAACTTGAACTAAGGATTTTGGGAGGAACAAGAGGCGATTTTTGGGAGCTCTTAGGTAAAAATTTTGATCTTTGTTTTCATCCCTTTCATCTTACTATATGTTAGGTATTTCTGGATTTTATTTCTTTCTCTTAAACTTGGCCATGTTAGGCTAAATTAATCTTGGTTGATGTTGGCATAATCCATGGATGATTAGCTATTTTTATGGTTATTATGAACTTATGTTGGTGTTTATGAAAGTATTTTCTGTTTGAACATATTTTCATTTTATATGTCTTTATTTATGAGTTTAGATGTATGATTACTAATTAGTTGACTAATTTCTTGATTAAGTAATGGATCCTTAAATTAGCAAACAATAAATGATTTTTGTGTGTTTTTTCTTTTAATTTCACTTATGTCTTGAAAGTATTTTCTCCAACATGGCAGTGACAACATTTTGACTTGTCTTGAATTTAGTAACTCTTATATCTTAATGCTAGTTTATTTTCAAAATTACATGCTCCATTGATTTGTGACTTTAACTAATAAAATATGCTATGAGCTTCTCTAACTGTTAAATTAATTAAAAAGAGTCTAGGTGACTTAAGATTTTAAGTCACTATAGCGAAATTAAATTAAGTCATAAGTCTTGTACCATAATCTCTAATGATAAATTACCTAAGCATATATGTAATGAAATCCAATGTCAACCATCCCATTTCTATTGATTACTTTAAATCTTTTTTTATCCGATTGCATTTCTCGTGTATCAGTTCAACTTAGATTTTAAATAACTAAAAACTAAAAAGCCCCATTTTATTCATAATGTCGTTTTACAAGTGTCTTTTCAAAGAGATTTATACGGGTTTACAAATTGAATACATCCTCTTGGATACAGTCCCTTTACCATTATACACTACCAAGTGTGCAAGAATTAGGGTTATATATTTGCTAGCCTTGAGAACAACCAAAGTCTCACTATTATAATTGTAACCCTCGACTTTTAATAAGCAAGTCTTTGTTCCTTCTTTCTTCAGTACCAAGTAAAACGAAATAACCATTGTGGTTTGTACCGTCAAAGAGACAAAAGAGAGGGGACCGGTGGAAATTGTAAATTATGATTAGGTGTCGCCAAGGTTTTTCATGACTTATATAAGACATAAAACCCTAGGAACTTCCTTAGTCTCCAGGTTTGCTCAATTATGGTAACAATACCATTACTCAAACTCCAAGCCTTTCTTACATACATAGTCATCCTTAATTAATTTATAGTTATACCATTAATTAAAAATGAATAACAAATTAGTCTGTCTCTATTTATTTACTCTTGCTTTTTTGTTTAAACCAAATATGTAACCCTAAACTCATGCATTTATTAATTAATGTTATTAATTTGTTGTGTTGGTGAACATATCATAAAACACTATTGATATGAAAGCACTAAGAGCATTTACAATAAATAGTTTAATGGAAAAATTGAATGAGGGGACATGCATAATTAGCATTCAACAGATTAAACTCTACTATTATCGATTGTCATGTTGACATTCATTGGATATGGAAATCAATGGTTATTGAACTCCTCAATGGAAAAAAAAATAAAAATAAAAATAAAAATAAAAATAAGACCTTTCAACTATTAAGAATATATTTCATTAAAAATTGTAGAGTTGAATGCATTGTCGGAAAATTAATGTAAAAGTTGTATGAAAGTAAAATAATGATTAGTTAATCCATTAAACTAAGTTTAATGCATTGTGGATGCTCCAAAGGTGTATTATTATTAAACTAAGTAATTACAACCGAAAGGTAACTCCCCGCATATGATACATATTCTCTTTTACTCACTAATAACTTTATAGTCTTATTACCTCATCTATAAATATCTTGATCATGTGAGCGTATGTCGACACCATTTTGAATGCATTACAATGTGTACAATGATTATGCTAAATACTAGATCTCATCATAGAAGGAAATATCCTGAAGGCCCCCTTCAAAATAGATTGTCACCGGTGTGTTTAACCTTTTCGTACAAAAATTACTTCTTATTTTTCAACTAGTTACTTTAAAACTTATTCCTAGTACATGCTCAGTTACATTCTCTCCCACCCCCACTCTTTTAGTAATCATGGTAGGCTTGTGTTTAATATGTTGTGCACACATCATCAATCTATCCACTCTTTCCATCCTTTGGTCTATTTATGATTGTCGATCTTTAACCTTCTCGGATTTCAATTTTAATTGTATTAGTGTTATAATTGTTGTTGTACATGGATTAAAGAAATACTCAATCACGTAAGCATTCAAGAACCGAAATATAATTTGCGATGAGTCAAATCTGGTAGTCTTTATTTTTCATTATTACTATGGAATTTGCGATTGACTTTAAGCTGTTCATAAATTTTTAATCAAAAAATATTTTTTAATATATCGTTAATCAGTGTTTTAGAAACTGGTTCGAACCGGAACCAGGGACGAAAGCGTTTTAACAACGTCGGGTTTATACAGTTTCTTCAAAAATCAGGTTGATCTGTTATGATAGAACCCGTAAAAAAAACCGTTTTGAACCGTTGTATTTGATTTGAATAGTTGGATTTCACTAACCCACTAAAAAAACATTCAAACTTCCAAAGAACATTGAATAACTCGATCGGTCAAATTATCTGGATTATACACAATTCAAAGGCCTAGGCATACCACTGCATGATGTAGACCAACGATTGAACCGGTTCAACTAAAAATGATTTTTTAAAACATTGTCGTTAATCCATATTCTAACACCCAAATATATATGGATCCGAATTATGTGGTTGATGCTGGCGATTTTTTATGTGGTAAGTCGATCTTTTAGTTGTAAGGACAAAAAACATCAAATTTGTAGAAAAATAAATATTAACTTGAGCTCAAAATATATAGATAATAAAAGCATATTCTCCAACTTTATTTTCATTCCTCAAGAACTCCCTCTATGGCAACACATAAACCAAACCAAATCATATTACCCAGCTACCAAAACCTTGATACATACATATTTTTTAAAATATTTATGTTATCCTCAACAAAGTTTTCCTACTTCCTTATAAAACTTTAATCGCAATAGAATGTAAACTAGATGACAAGTTCATGTTCTCAATCAAATCATAGGTAAGCAATGAAACCATGGGTCTAGATAAACGGTTAGATCGCTCAACTACTGGCAATACATCCGGTGATGACAATGGATCAGTTTCACGTATCCCATGCCACTTTGCTTGCATGTATTTGAGCTTCCTCCATGGAGCGATATGCATTTTCTGATCTTTCATGCACTTTTTAGATGCTATGCAAAGTATCTTGATTAACGATTCTAGTCTTTCGGTCTTTCCAACATATATTTCAGGTAGTCGGCTTATGAGATGGTTGTATTCTTGACTTGACTTTACCATCTCGAATTCGGCTTGGAAATTTAACTCAATAATCACTCTCATAACTCCTTTTTTAGAATTTGAAGTGTCCAATACTTCTATATACGTGTGTTCGCCTGGAAATTAAAATATTCACAATCGGGGATCAATAACTTTTGGAGCAGAAATTAATGTATTTTGTTTCTTATTATTATACTAATCTTTTTTGGATAATTAACTATTTTTTTAAATATTCTACCTGCTGGGATTTGTTTTTTATTCATCCACTTGGCCTTGCATATGCCACAGTTGTAGCCTGCCTTTTGCAGTCGGTAAGAGATCTCCCTCTGGAAACACCTCCGGCAACCATCAGCCACCGTCCTGCCACAATCACAGCCATCCACTTCAGTAGATTTAATCTCCTTTACAATCTCTTTAGTTGCCTGCCTGATTTTTGACTCTATTGAACTAGTCCTAAAAAGACTTTCCTGGAAAAATATCCAAAATGGTAAAATTAATACACTGAGTAAAATAACTTGTTCTGAAGAAAAACTCTGATAAGAGTTTAGCAAATTAGAAGAATATGTACTGTGAGAAGCTGTTCTTGAGACTCCCAAAACAATCTATCTTCCTCGGGATCGCCAGAATTTTCATTTTCTTCCAAATCGCCATTGTTGTAGCTATCACCTGAATTGCATGAACTTCCTGATGACAGTTCACTCTCTTCAAGAAACTCGAAGATCATATCAGCAGCACTTTCATATTTGCCGGATGATTTTGTGTTACTATTGGAGTGCCGTTCAGTGGCCGGAGCTTCAAGGCTTGCTCCGGTCATATTTGTGTGTCTAAGACTTATGGATTGAAACATGATTGTTTAATGCTCTTTCAAGGAAATCACGTGGCTTTTATAATGAAGTCCTGGTGGGTGGTAGGCCCGCACCTGTATGAGGTGGACGAGTTATATGCTCCGTGCATCTTTTCTATATATGTTCTTTATGCCATGTTGGATAATGACGATTGTAGATTTTTTTTTTTCTGTTGTACTTTTAACTTTATCAAGATCTAATATTAATGACATCATCAACAAAAAAATATATATTGGATTAACTGATTAAGTATTATTTCCAAACGGAGTTGATATCTGTCAAGCAATTCAAAAGAACGATACAATTTTCCACAAATACTATAATAGATAAAATGGATTTTCCCATTAACTATAAGATTTCCTTAACTTTCCTCATAAAAGATTTAAACATGATTAAAGAAAAATTAAATAGGCACTTGATAGCAAATGACATTGCGTTTTGTTGAATAATCACTTAAGTTGGTCAATCTATAAATGAAAGGCTGGTTATTACTTCACTTTATTTGTTTAGTTTAGATATTTTATTCAGGGTATATTTGGAATGTTGGAAGTTCTACAATGTGCATTTGGTTTATATTGGGCTTATTCTTGTCAGCTTTTATTATACTACAAGAATCTATTTGTATTTTTTCAATGTATATACCATTTTGTTTGGATTCATTGATAGGTGTGTTAGACTTGAGAGAAAATATCTCTTTGGTTTCGTTAGCTTCATCTTCTCTGATGAGGGTTTTGTTTTCATTGATTATTGTTCATTCAATCTTTGAGAGTTGGTCAAGGAGAGAGTAGAGTTAGTCTATCTAGTAAGGACCAAGTTGTATACTTAAAAACAAATTGGTCATTGTATAAAGTGCTTGTTTATGTTGGAATTTATATTTCTTTTCATGGTATCAGAGCACTAGGCCTCGTTTGATTTTGTCCTAGTGTTCATTGATCGATTATGGTGCTCAGGTGGTGTTATTGTTTGTATTGAGAATTTTACGGTTTCTCGATTTGTTCTTTGTTACAATTGATCTTCTTACAGTCTGTTCAGATCTGCTGTTTTCATCACTTGTTATGAAGATTGGTGCTATCGGGGTGAACTGAGTGTCTCGCTAGGCTGTTTCTTCATCCATTGCAATCCAATCATCCTTTAGCTTGGTGTTGCGGTTAAAAACCCTCACTGAGACGGTAATTTCTGATCACTAATGTGATCGGGGCTCCAAAAGTGATTCTAGGACTACTATAAGTCTTCTGGTTCTTGTTCTTGTCTTTATCTGTTCAGGACTCTATCCTGGGTGGCTTTGTTGTTGTGTTCATATATTGTCTGCATGGCACTTCTTGTGAGTGTTTTGTCATATTCATTTGTTTGTTCTGGTTTATTGAGTACCTTGTTATTCTTGTATTGAATCATGGTTGGTACTGAAAAAAGTGGTTCTGCTTCTAAAGAAGAAACCCCTTTTGTTGTTGATGTTAATGATCATCTATATACAAATCATAATGATAGTGGTCTAACTGCTCTTAAATTCTTTCAAACTAAAGGGTACTGATAACTATAGGGTTTGGTCTGCTTCTATTCTTTGTGCTCTTTCTGCTATGAATAAAATAGGATTTATTGATGGGTTTCTTGAAAAACCACCTTCTGATGATGAACTTAAACTAAAAAAATAGGAATGGGTTGATGATGTTGTCTTAAATTGGATTTTTGTAGTTGTTAGTCATGACTTGTATATGGATCAAACAAATGCTTAGACTTCCTTTGAGGTGTGGGAAGAACTTAAAGAAACATTTTAAAAAGTTAATGGATATGTAATTTTCAATTTTCATCAATAGATTCATTCCCTAACTTAAATCAAGTGTTCTTAGTGTATCTGAGTATTTTAATAAAATGTATTCAGTTTGGAAAGATTATGATGCTCTCACTAATCTAAATACTTGTATATGTGAAGTTGCTAAAACATATACTAGTCATAATCAACAGTTGAAATTAATGCACTTCTTAATGGGTATGGATGAGTCTTATAGCTCAATTTGAAACAATATTCATAAGCATGAACCTCTTGTTGGATCTATATGCCCAAGAATCATTATTTAATGATACTAATAATGACATATGATTGTATAGGGTCACATCTTAATCAAGTTGGTACTTATAGAATATGTATTAAGAATTTGATTATTAATAAATAAATTCAACTCTTGTATTTAATTAGAGAAAAGTTACTATTTTATGAAAACAATAACAAAAGAAACAACAAAGTAGTTATTATATCATATGGTATGATATAACAACTCATGTAGAATGTTTTGGACAGTTTGTTTAACCATGGTTTAGTTAGTTTATTGATCAGCGGCCTCACGGCAAGATGCATCCATTAGATATTCACATATGGAAATGAGCGGAGATCACCATGGATTTCATTACGAAGTTGCCTTGGACAGTGTGCAGAGTGGATTCGATTTGGGTCATCGTGAATCGATTGACCAAGAACGCGCATTTTATTCTGATTTAGGAGAGTATCTCTATGGAGAAGTTTCCCAAGATATACATCAGGGAGGTTATGTCATGGCATGGGGTGCCAGTTTTCGTGGTTTCATACATGGACGTTCCGTTTACATCCAAATTTTAGAAGAGGTTCCACGAGGAGTTGGATACTCGTCTGCATTTCAGCATGGCTTTCCTCCCATAGACTGACGGTAAGAGCGAGCGGATTATCCAGACCTTGGAGGATATACTTCGGGCACGTGTATTGGATTTCGGTGGGAGTTGGGATACGTATCTCCCTTTGGTGGGGTTTTCGTATAACAACAGTTATCACGCCAACATCGATCAGCCTCCTTTTGAGATGCTATACGGGAAGAAGTGCAGGTCCCCGATATGTTGGGGTAAGGTCGGTCAACGAGTCATGGGGAGTATCGAAGTGGTACTCAAGACTACCAAGTTGATTCAGCATGTTCAGAATAGACCCCAGATAGCTCAGAGTCAGTAGAAGAGTTATGCCGACAAGCGCCGATCAGACCTAGAGTTCCAAGTTGGGGATATGGTTCTCCTGAAGGTGTCACCTTGGAAAGGTGTCATCCAATTCAGGAAGAGGGGAAAGTTGGGCCCCAGGTACATCGTCGTTTTACGGTTTTGGCACGTGTGAGCCGGGTCGCTTATCGCTTGGATCTTCCCAGGGAGCTTAGTTAGATCCATAGCACGGTCCACGTCTCTCAGTTGCGGATATGTTTAGCGAGTGATTACATGGTGGTTCCATTGGAGGATATTCAGATGGAGAATCGCCTGGATTATATTAAGAGAACGGTGGTGATTCTTAGTAGAAAGACGAAAACCTTGAGGAGCAATGTTGTTGAGTTGATGAAAGTTCAGTGGCAGCACCGCAAGGAGTCAGAATGGACGTGGCAGCCGGAGGACGAGATGATGGAGTATTACTCAGAGTTATTTAGGGCAGCGGACTTCGAAGACAAAGTCTGATTCAAGTGGGGTAGAATTGTAACATTCGAGATTTGGTATGTTTCCCTTTTTAACCCCCTTAACGCAAAATTTCTAACTTTTTGGTCCCTAACTAGTACGTAGGGCGTACTCTATGAGTACGCTTAGCATACTAGCTCATTTCTGGAACGTGGGTTCACCCAGGTACGTGGGAGTATGTATGGTGTACGTAATGCAGGGGCGAACCCTAATTTTTAGGGTTTGTGCTTTATTTAAACAACTTATAACACCCATGGACCTTCTATTGATTAGCCTCCATCACTCTATACCCTATATTAAAACCCTAAGTATCATTTATGAGTTTTAAGCTTGTAGATCTTGGGTCATCTTCATCTTATCAAGTCATTGGAGGTAAAAAGTTTTCATCTTGATGGTTCTTTGTGCTAGATCTAACTTAGGGTGTTATTTATGCATTTTTTTTATCTTTTAGGCCATATTTGAGATTATGGTCTACTCCAGAAGCCATGGAGGTTAGATCTTAGCATATTTGAGGTCCCTTGTCCATAGAAATGCAACTTTTGTGAGTTATTTTGGTCCATGCATGTGTTAGGTTCCTTGTTATGGTTCTCTTTGTGTTTTGGGTCTTATTAAGATATGCATGGAAGTAAAGTTGCCAACTTTACGTGTTAAGTCACCTTCTTGAATCAGATCTGAGAGTTTGGCATGTTGGCTTAACTAACTAAGTGCTTAATGAGTTGGGTTGGTTGTATGCGGAGTACGCGGGGCGTACTCAGCTCGTACGCTGAGCGTACTGGTCCCAAAAGGAGTACGCCAAGCGTAAGTCTGAGTACGCCCAGTGTACTCGGCTATTTGACTTTCACGGGTTTGGGCCATATTTTGGGTTTGTAGGGTTTGGGCCTTGTTGGGCCATTGGACTTCTAACTTTTGGGCCACGGATAGACTATGGAATTTCTTGGGATTAGGTCCACGATGATTTTTGGGACCAATTTGGAAGTTGGTCCATATTGGGCCTTGTGATGCCATTTAGGAATTTGGGCTTTGAGCAAATTAGTTGGGCCTTGGTTTTGGGCCTAGTAAAAGAAGGGTAAAATGGTCTTTTACCCTGGATGATGGACAACCGATTTAGATTCTTGATTATGGGTCGGGGTCCAATTATTAATTGGATATTATTTGATGGTGTTATCATGGGGATTTTCCGGATCATCAGACTGAGACTTCATTTGAGAGATTCAGCAGCTTGAGGTGAGTTTCCTCACTGTGTTTAGCGTGTGGAAGGCACCAATACCGGCCCATAGTTTTTTATGATTAGGATGCTAGTTGTATGTATGACTCTGCATGTTTGTTTTACGATATGTTACCGGGATGGGCCTGATGATTATATTGTATGATATTTATCTTTGTGATTTTTTGCATGTCGTTATATGTTGTATGCATACGGGGCGGGGCCCGATGCCAGGCGGGGCCAAATGACTGACAAATATGTTTTCAGCGGGGCCCGTTGCTGGGCAGGGCCCATTAGATGTTCGATATGTACGGTATGTGGTATTTTGGGAACTCACTCAGCTTTGTGC